ATTTTATTTATGGACACAATATCTTTATTTATTTATTTTTATGTGATGCTGAGGATCGAGCCCAGTGCCCCACACATGTGAGACAAGTAATCGACCACCAAGCCCCAGCCCCAGTCCTATACAAACAATCTTCACTTCAAATTGTATTTAATTAAATCAATTGTCTTTTATTCTATTAAGAAAAGGAGGAAAAAAGATAAAGAGTTTTGAGGTTTCTGGGGATTTACAAGGAGCAGATTTAATCTCATATTTGTAACCATAGGAGCATTTTGTAGACTTGTCTTATGTAATCTTTTTAAAAAGCCATGGGAAAGAAAAGTACTATTATCTCAGAATATCAGAATCAAAGATATAACAATTGTCCAATCTTTAAATTCTAGTTTCCAAGCAAAATAATTTAGAAAAAAAGCCCCACTCATTCATGTATTTAATTATAAAACAGCAGGCTACTTACTTAGCACAGTTGGATTCCTGGATGTAGACTTTGGACATAGGGATTCCTGAGTACATGATTTATTGAGAGAATGCTCTCAGGAGGAAAACCATAGGGAAGTGAGGCAGGTGGGGCAAGAATGGGGAAGAAGATCAGCTGAAATGTGGCCTTCAAGTCCAAGCTCAGCAAATCTCCCTGGGAGCAGTGGAACATGGACTGCAACACAGAATTTGGCCACTGGAAGCAAGGGGCCTGAGCTGTTAGTCACTAGGTCTGCCAGTCCTTGGGCCTGGGTGCTCCCTCTCCAAGGAAGAACCTGCTAAGTATGTCAGGTAAGGTGGTACCTGTCAGCCCAGGCCAGCCCTCAGATTTTGGCAGCTGAGAACTGTTTGAAGTCAAGCCCTATGGCAGCCTATACCAATAAGTGGAGCAGTTTGGAGAGGAGATCCTTATAGGTCTCCAACAGAATCCCCTTTCAAACAAGTAAATTAACCTCCTTCAGTAATCCCCATACAAGCAGCAATTGCTTGAACTAATCTCTCATTAAATCCAAGCAGGGGGCACTAAGTACTTTTTATTGTTTCATTTTTTCTCTCTGAAAAAACTAAGCACAGATATTAGGGGCAAATTAACTTCTGAAGCATGCATATTCCTGCTTACTATTAGGTAAACTTTTCTGTTGGTATAAAATAAGCCTATTTCTGTGAACTACAATAAATTCTTCATAAAATTTTCCAGTCTAATTTTAAATTAGATACAGGATGATATATCTGTTGGTCTTATGCAGTATAATGCCCACAGTATAAAGAAGAACCTGGAGCTGAGGGTAGAGCTTAGTGGTAGAGCACATACTTAGCATATTCAAGGCCCAGGATTTCATGATCTCTAGCACCAAAACATATGAGGTAAGAACCTGGAACATTTTACCTTTAGGTTAGATTGCTTTCCTTCTAGCTCATCTCATTTTCTCTCATGTTTAATGAACTCAATGCCTAAGATAAAAAATTTCTAAAACTCTATAGAAAGTAAAAGGAAATAATCACAGGTTCAAAATGTATTAATATGTTCCTTGAAAATCTGTTTAAAATAGTGAAACATTTCAAATATCCAATAATTGGGGATTAGATAAATAAATTATGATGTAACAAAAGACTGAGCCAGTAAAAGTCATTTTGTCGAGGAAAATTTTAATGCCAAGTGCAGTTGCACAGGCCTGTAATACCAACAATTTAGGAGGCTGAGGCAGGAGGATTGCAAATTTGAGGCCAGTCTGGGCAGTTTAGTAAGATCCCATCTCAATATAAAAAAATGAAAGGGCTAAGGATGGGGAATGTGGCTTAGTGGTTGAACACTCTTGGGTTCAATCCCTTGTAACACACACACACACACACACACACACACACACACAGTCTAATTACATGAACTTAATATCAATATTATCCTATTTTTAAAAAAGTAAAATTGAACATAAAAAGATGACCTATGTCTAAAACCCATATTCACAGTTCTTCTCTCTGAATGCTTGAGTCTTGTTTTTATTTTGGAAATTTTCCCTAATTCTGAGTTACTTTTGGAATAAGTAAAAGGTTATCTAATAAACATTACCAACTCTAATGGATTTGTTAATAGGAACACAAGTTATCCAAGCAATTTCCAAAGTTTTTTTCTTACATTATTATCTGTCCATTTTTAATTTTTCTTGAAAATCTCCTCTGAATATTCAAGGAAAATATGAAGAGCTAATTTCTATCATTTTTCTAAATATTGATGTCATCCCCAATAATCATTAGATTATATTTCACTTTTTTGAAAATCAAAAGGATTGTCACTCTATTTAAGCCCTATATATTTTAGACTTTATTTGTAATATGTCTTCGCCCTTTAGTAATTATTCTTTAGGTTGGATGTGGTGGCTTATTCCCATAATCCCAGGTACTTGGGAAGCTGAGGCAGGAGGAACGACAGTTTGAGGCCAGCCTGGGCAACTCAAGTGAGACAGTGCCTCAAAATAAAAGAGGGCCTGGGATGTAGGTCAGCAGTAGAGCTCCTACTTACCTAGAATGTGTAAGTGCCTGGGTTCCATCCCAAAACAAAAGATTATTCTTTACAATCTGACATCCAATTTAGAATACTATATAAATTATTTCAGGAACCCATAACTATATACATATAATAATAATAGTAATCATTTTAGGGTCTAAAACTGCCACAGGCCGGCTGGCTGGGCAAAATAAGGTGGGGGGGAGAACAACTTGTGTACATTGATACAGCAGGAGTGGGAGCAGTTTATTGTAGGACATTCCACACAGCTTATCTTAATTAACATAAACTAGATACAGCAGTCAACCAATAAGGAATCTCCACACTTAATGGCTCGCTGTCGTTACTTCACAAACCACTCCCTCTGGCAAAATGCCAGGCGCCATCTTGACTTGTTTATAGACCCTAACACATAACCACACTCCAGGCATTGTATTCAATACTTTTTGTATTGTAAGAAATCACAAAAGCACTGTGAACATCCTGCATTTTATATTTAAAACAAAGGAAAATACAAATGACTTGATTATCTTCACTTTCTTGTGCCTTAATCACCTTTAGTTGGTATGAACTCATCCAGAAACACCTGAAACAGCAAGATGTGTACTATTTAACATCATCACAAGATAAGATGCTACTGGTGTCCACAGAATAACAAAAGATAAAATATGGAAAGCTGAGTTGATCATCTGGATGTTTTGTGACATGATGCAGAACTCCATGAAACTGTGTTCCAATATGCCATTTTTATTTCCCTGGAATAAGATCACTGAGGTGAAGTCAGAAAGTTGGTGTGGAAATCAAGCTTCACACCCTGAGTAACACCCTCTCACCTCTTTCTTTACTTCTTCTTCATCCTCCAGTGTCAAAGCAGCCAGTTGCTTGGCTCTCTGCTCCATCAGATTCACATATCGGATTGGGTTTGACAAAGCTTCGATCACATCTAAACAGGGAAGCAATGTTTTAGATGGAAGGTTCTGGAGGTATTGATTACCTATCATCCATCTAACCATCCATCCATCCAACACTTTGTCCATGTATTCACTCATCATCCAACTACCCACCCATCCATCTGCCCTTTTAGCATCCATCTTTCACTCTTCCACCCACCTATATTCCTTTGCACCCATTAATGCAACATTTTGGAAACAGACAAGAGTCAGGACTTTGCTGAAACCTTAAGAAGACAGAATTCAAAGGAGTTCAGCTCTGAAAACCACAATGGACAGGTTCAAACCCAGGATGCCACAAAACTTCACATTCTCAAGTTTCTTTTTAAAACATCCACCTGTCCCATAATGTTCCTACCATTTGTCTTATTTGGCCCAAATTGTATTTCATAAACAGAAACATTTCATAGAAAGAGCCCACTTTCCACACTATTGGAACAATCCAAAGATTTGGCAATATGAGTCTCATTTGCATGGCAGGGGCTAGGTGGAGGGAGTTATTGTGACCATCTCTGGATGAGGGCTATGTTTCAAATTTGCCATAGTCTCTACCATTTCCTGGTGTCTTTTTTCCTCATGGAATATTTGGTACTATAAGCATTTAAATTTGTGATTTTTGTTTGACATTGTCACAAGTTAATCCTCTAAATTAAGGACTCTACACATGAAAAAAATCAGGATTCTTTTCTTTTCCTCTTGTTATTGGGGATTGAACCTAGGAACACTTTATCACTGAAATGCACCCCAAACCCTTTTAAAAAATATTTTGAGGCAGGTTCTCATTAAGTTGCTTAGGGCATCACTAAGTTGCTGAGGCTAGCCTTGAACTTGTGGTCCTTTTGCCTTATCCCCCCAAGTCAATGGGATTATAGGTGTCAACTCTGTGCCCACCAGGATCAGGATTCTAAAACTAGCTAAAGCCAAATTCATTGCACAGACCTAGATAAAGAACTGTAGCCCCAGGTAGCATGAGTCAAGAATTTCTGAGCCCATGAATATAAGACTACCAGAGAGTAAACACGTTCCAAATGGAGGCATTGAGATTTAAATGAAAATAAACTGCATTAAAATGTAATCACTAAGTCTGAGCAACATACCGCTAAACATACAGACAAAATTAGAAGGGATTCAGAGGCCACATCTCCTGCCTTGGTTTGGTTCAGTGCTTCTTCCATTAAGCTACAAAAACATGAATGACCCCAGATGGAGACATGCCCTGGGGTCAGGTTGCTTACCTGCATATGTGTCTGGCACATAGTCTTTCACTTCTATGTAGACAAAGACAGCTGGCAGCATTAGGGGCTGGTTCCTTTCATTCCTCAGACAGATGTAGTGATAGCCTGGAGGGTGACAACAACACTGGGTATCACATATCGTCTTCACAACGTTAGCTACAGCTATGAACATCTGTGTGACGCAAGGGTTTATTTTAGGTGACTTTGGATGACAAATGGGTCACTTCTTTCTCATATAATTTTGAGTGATGAGGTCTTATTTACTTCATCAGATAGGAAAACATTGTTGATTCTATTTTTTCCCTTTCTAACCATATTCTCCCCCCAAAGAGAGAATTTAAAAATACATGCCACAGTTTGAACTATTGGTCCAAATTTGTTCCTCATAGTAGAATTATACTTGATTTCTTAATTAAGGTGCAGCATAGGGTATGCATTGGTCAATGGGATGTTAGCACTGTGGCACAAACAGAGGCACAAAATACATATGTAGAGTGAGACTTATCCTTTTGCATTCTGGTGATCTTCCAAGAGAAGTCCATACTCTAGGTACCATTGTCCCTTCAGCCTGCACCCCAGAATGAGTACACTTGGAACACACCAGAACCCAATCAATGGCTTGAAGCATGGCTATGTTGCTGAGGCCAGGCTGGATCAGCTAAACCTTGTGCAATGGTTTGGATGTTATTTGTCTCCTTCAAATTCATCTGTGGAGCTTGGTCCCCAGTGTGATGATGTAAGAGGTGGTGGGAACTTCAAGAGGTGGAGCCAAGTGAAAGGGTCACTGGGGTTGTGCCCTGAGGAGAGATTAAGATAGTTCTCTGGGACCCCGAATTAGTTCTTGAGAGAGGGTTTTTTATAAAAAAGAACAAGTCTGGCTCTACTCAGTTCTCTGGGTTCCTATTTGGCAAGGTGATCTCTCACTCCCAAATGCACATGTCTGCTATGATGCCACCCAGAATTAAATTAGGTCCTCACCAGAGGCAATGTTAATGGGATGATGGGATGCCTGATTTTGTGAGCTAAACAAACTTCTTTTCTTTATAAAGCAGTTTACCTCAGGTATTTTCATTACACTAGTGATAAAACAGACAAATAAATATACACTGCTAACCTTCAGACTCATGAGCCAGGAACATAAATACTTACATATAAGCTTCAGATATTTTATTACACATAATTATTGTAACAAGAACACATTACAGTGGATCATAAAGACAAGAAACTACTAGATTTAAGTAAATGATCATATAGGCCTTTTATATAGCAAAATTACAAAGCCCCAGATAGTTGCTTAAACTGGTGATTTTTTTTTATAGTTTTGATAAGGAGCTTCTCACCACATTATCCATACCTGGCCGAATGGCTTGTACTGGCAAGATCCGGTGGCCAATAAATTTACCTCCTTCTTCATAAACTGCTATCCTCAAACAGGCCAGAGAAGGAAGAACCACCTGAGAGGATAAATAAATAAATAAACAAATAAATAAATAAATAAATCACACTGGGTGACAAGAACTGGTTGAAATTCCAAGAAAGAAGTAGGTCCTGCTTTTCCAAAGCCAAGTTGAAGTTTGTACTTAGCTCATTTAGATAAAAAGTTAAACTCTTGTCCCAAAAGTTAAATTTTCAGAAGGAAAGGACATGGGTTAACAATAGTTGGGCTCCATCCGTGTTTTGTCACCTCCCTTCCAGCGAGGGATATGTACAAACCAGGCTGTTTTCTTTGCACATGAACATTTTTAATGTGAGAAATGAGAAAAGTTCTCTGTTTAATTATGGCTAATGGTCTTGCTATTATGTATTTAGTCTCCTGTTTTCAAAATCCAATTGCTTTGTAAACTTCTGAATTGTCAAATTAACCAGAAATAATTGTTTATTTTATTTTTTTCCCCTCAGTAGAAACACATCAAAAACACAGTGTTGTGGGCTGGAGTTGTGGCTCAGTGGTACAGCATTTACCTGGCACATGTGAGGCACTGGGTTCGAGCCTCAGCACCACATAAACATAAATAAATAAAATAAAGGTATGTGTCCAACTACAACTAAAAAAAAAAAATTAAAAACAAAAACACAGTATCATGTCAAGAAGACAAGGACTCTCTCTCCCGCCCCACTTTTTGGTTCAGGGGATTAAACCCAGGGGTGCTTTTACTACATCCCCAGCCCTTTTCCCTTTTTAATTTGAAATAGCATCTCCCTAAATTGCTGAGATTGACCTCCAACTATTAAACCTCCCATTTCAGCCTCCCGAGTCACTTGGATTACAGAGTGTACCACCGACACCCACCTTTTTGAACACAATTGGCTCTTCTTCCCAGACAGGATTTACAGCATTCCCTTGGGAAGTCTTGGTTTTGAATGCCTTCCTCCTGGTGTCCACAGGCAAACCAAACATATCCACTTCAACATAAGTCCCAACTTTCTTATCAGAAAGAAACTGACCTGAAATAATCTAGACAACAAACAAACAAACAAAAATACATCTTGAAAAATGAGTAGCAAAAATACAAGATGCATTTTAAAGGGGGTACAAATGCTGCTGATGAATGTTAAATTATGAGCAGAATGAAACAGAAACAAGGTTAGTCATATGAATTTCTCTTAAGAAGCTGGTGGAGGAATAATGACCGTGGAAAAGCTTAGGAGTCAACCTAAGAAAGAGTAGTGCAGAAGGAATAAATAAAGCAATAACTACCATAAACCATCAAGAGCAGTTGACCATTACCTCTAACCTCATGCAGTTAGACCTCTGCACAATTGTGGGCATTCTTTGCTTAACTACAGAATCAACCAACATTGTGGGATTAAAGGAGATTTTAAGGTTACATATTCATATAATGTTTCCCAAGTCTGCCCCTTTTTCTAATGGAGTTGTCCAAATCTGAGGGATCTATCATTAAGGTTAATGGAGACAAAGAAGATGTGTCTGCTCTATACCAGAAAGAGGAACAGCAGCAGGAGGCAAGAGATAATGGAGTAAAGCTGATACATTTGGATTGTGTTTGGAACACAGTTGCCTGCTAGTCAGTCAAGAGCTTTCTGAGCTCAGTCCTTGAAAGGGGTCAGAATTTCCAAGATTAGGGCTGAGTCAGAGGTCAGACACAATGGTGGCATGGGAATAGTCATCAGAGGCTGCATAAAGTCAAAGTTGGCGATGTGCTAATGAGGTCAGAGATTCTGAACAAGTGAGAGAGAAAGTCATTCAGAAGGCTCTCTGAACTTGTTCTGGGACCATCCATTCTCCCTGAATGTTCTCTCTGGCTCAAGTGCACAGGATCTGCTAGGGATAATCTCTCTGTTCAACCTGAGGTTCCACATGAAAACTACTCAGCAGGCTTTTATGAGTTTGAAACTTCCAAGTGATGTGAGTCCCACTGGGAATTCAGATGCACCAAGGAGTTTGGACGCTTATGCAGTTTGACCAAAGCAGACGCCTAAAGTAAATTAAGGGCATTAAAACACAGTGTTTGTGTCAGCAAAATAGGTGGGTTTATAAGTCCATTCTGGAAATATGAAGATCAAAACAAAAGTGTGAATGACAGATATGAGCTGCATGCAGGTCGAGCTGTACTGTTCAAGGTAGGAAGGACCCCACTGCATTGTGGTCTGTCCCTGATGGACAGCTCCAGAGCAATATCTCCTCTGGAGAGGGGAGCAGCAGGTTACAAATGCCTGGGCCTCCACTACTTCTTTAACACTCACTTTCCTGCCTCTGTGTCATTATTTTATAATTGCTTGTTCTGTCGCAGTAGGATTTTCAAAACGAAATAAATAAATAAGAAAACATGAAACAGGATGATTCTATAAACCAGGCAACAACATTAGTTTGACTCAGTTATAACAAGCATTGACAAGGATTCTAAAAATAGCATTTTATGAGCATGAGAGGCTTCTGAGTTTATCTTAATCACACAGGGTGGGAATTTGACATCCTCTGCTGAAAACAATTTCCTAAAATAAATATGATCATGAAGCTCAAGTTGTGCCAACTTCACTCTTGGTTTAAGGGAGTTTGTAATAACTTCAAAAGACAAAATATTTCACTGAAATTTTATTTTAAATCTTTGATATAAAATGAAAGAAGTTTTGGAGGAAAAGGGGGTTAGGTTAGATAGAAATTAGTGTAATTGTGATAAGGTCTCTTTTTACATAGTCTTCAAATGCCTTGGTTCAAGTCCAATCTGAAAATTGCATTTTGTGCAATGAAAGTCTCTTAGTTCCAGAGTTATTTAGTAAAACATAAAATAAATGATACTTTAAAAGAGCAAACAAAATTTTAGCTTTTTTTTTTTACGGAATTCATGTAAAAACTTCTTTATAAAAATAAACTTCTCTTTCATAGTATTAAAAACATTTTCTGACAGCTCAAAAAATATCTTCTGTAACATCTATTTCAAAAACCGAAGAAAATGCTTTTGGAATTAATATTTTGGATCCGATATATATAGATATATACCTATCTATCTATCTATCTCTATCTATCTATCTATCTATCTATATATATATGATAAAGTAACCCTTTAAGATTATTAGTGTGAATTTTAAAAGGACTGAATGGTATGGTAGAAATTAAAAAACAAAAAACAAAACATGTTAACCTGAAAGCTTCTGTTCAATATTTAATAACTTAGTGGATTTTTTCCCCTTTAATTTTGCTCAGGAACTAGTAAGAACTAGTAGGGGCAGCAAAACACCTGAACTCTTCCATCTGGGTCACTAATTTTCATGTAAATTTCATGGGTTATTTACATCAAAAGAGCATAGGCCATGGTGGGTCTCATGTTGAGAGCCACAGCCAAAGAGGCCCCAGCAAACTTCCAGCCTCCAGCAAACTTCCAGCTGCCGGCTGATGATTGGCTCACAGCGGCCCCAGCAAACTTCTAGCTGCCAACTGATTGGCTCCTCTGTGGTGATGCTCATTGGGCTGTTGCCCCACCCTTTCAGACCATGGAGCTGCTCATTGGGGGACTTTTTGGCTCCGCCCACATGACCCAGCCAATCGGCCTCAAGAGCAGGAGGAGTGGAGGAAGTTGAGAGGCTTGTGGGAAGCCAGTGGTGGCAGTTGGGCTCTGAGGGTTTTTCCTGAGGAGCTGTGTGGTGTGGTGTGTGTGTTCTAAAAATAAAGTTTGTTTCTTTTGACAAGTGGCTCCTGAATTGTGCCCAGCCAGACTGTGGCAGTCTCACTAGTTCATTTGCTTGGACCCTAATAAGATTCAGGTGTCCTGTGAAAATTTCTCATGAAAATTTGATACTTAAAAGGAAAAACCTGTAGAAAGGAAGTAGAGCATTTACTAGTTATTAAATATTTAATGACTAAACAACTTCTTTATGCAAAATAGATGATATTTAAGACCTTTGTTAGGGACAAGGGTGTCCATACCTTGACAGATAAAGTGTTGGCCACTATCCCATCAACGATGCCTTCCGTAAACGGATCAAAATGCTTGTCCGGCCTCCTCATGAACTCTGGCTTCAACCTGTAGCCACTCTTCCCATTGTATTCATACATGCCCATGTTGATTTGCATTGCCAGGTCTAAATAATAAAAAATACAAAACTCGCTGTGAAAGTATTTATGTTTACAATGAGAAAGTAAGACAGGGAACTAAGATTTATTATAGCACACTTTGGTAACTGTTCTCTTTAACCAAAGAAATAGTTATTCATTGTGAAAATGAGGATAACAATGTATGGAAAAAAATCCAGCTGTAATCTCCAGACCCAGAGACAACACTATCAACAGATTGGTTTATAATCTTTTTTCCACTTCAAATGTATTTTTATTACAATATGACAATTCCATTTAATATTTCTCTGCTTTAATTGTGATAGCTCTATAATTTCCTTAGAGTAGATATTTTGGACACGTTTATTTCTTCTAATTTTCACCATTACATATAATATTACATATAATGAACATCATTGTGGTAAAATCTTTGCATACTTAATGATTTTCCTAGGAGTAGAATTTCTGGACAAAAGATGTGCACATTGGAAAAGTTTTTCCTGATAATTTTGCTAAAATGCCCTTCTGAGAGCTTAGACTGATTTATACTCCCCTAAGATAAATTTTTGATGCTGGAATTCTCTATATATTTTCACTGACAGGGGATGTTATAATGTTTTGTTTTTTAATTTATAAGAAAAATTTCCTTTTTAAAGTTTTCATTTCTATAATTAAGTTATAACCAATATCTGATTATACGTTGACTCTTTTCCAGTAGATAATGGTCACTGATCAAAGTTTTCCTAACATCCAATCAGTACCATCAAATAAACATTCACACTTACTGCAGTTGCTGGTGAAAAAACAAAAACAAAAACAAGTTGGAAGGCCAGCACTATAGCTCAGTGGTACAGCACTTGCCTAACATGCATGAGACCCCCTAGTTCCACAAATATCATAAAATAATAAACTCATAAGGAATCTGGGAAGCTGTCACTGGTTAGTATTATCTGAGTCATGATTCATTTCTACTGATGTGGACAATAATGAGGGGATGATGGAATTATTTCAAAGCTCTGTGTAAGAAATTACACAGAGAAATTAAAGAAATTAAAGCAGGAAAAATAAGTGAAAATTTATCTCTCATTTTATTAAATTTTTATAATTATGATACAAAAATCAGACAAAGTACTGAGAGAGAGAGAGAAATAATAGGCCTATCATATTTGAAAAAAATATTTAACTCCAAAAGCCTAAGGAATTACATGCAAGTCATATGGTCTAATAAATAAAATACAATAAGGAATTAGAATTTATCTTAGGAACAAAAGAATAATTACATATTGGGAGACTTATTAAGAGAATTGTTTATATTAATGAATATATAATCATATCAATTGTTGGCCAAGAGAAATAATTAGCATTTAACATAAATTCCTAAACTACTGTTGGTCAATTAGGACAAGTGTATACTTCTTTAGGATTTTAAAGACTATCTGTCACAAAATCATAACCCAAATCATAACAACATTAAATTCTTCCAAGTATCAGGATAAAGAAGAAGATGCCCACTCCCAATGTTATCATTTAATATTACCTAGAATGATCAACCCAAAGCAATAAGGAGTAGAGGAAATTAGATGTGATTAAATTCCTGTGTTTGTGTGTCTGAGAAGCCAAATTTATTGCCCAAAATAGGCTATTTTAAAACCTTAGGAAAATGATCACCTATAAAATATTCATAAAGTAAGTATACAAATATCAATAACTAGGAATAATATGTTAAAATGTAATTTTAAAAATGAAGAAAGATTTCATCTAAAGGAACTAGACCTCTAATGAGGGCTAGCAATTTTATTGAGGGTGTTAATATAAGATTTTTAAAAAATGAAGAATGAAGCATTCTTTTTGTGATAGGAAAACATAAAATTAAAAATATAAGTTTTCTTCAGATGAATTTATTACTTTAGATTTTAATAGAAATCTTTTCAATGGTCAGAGGGAAACATGATTCAATTAAACCAAATTCATTTAGAAAAGTAATTCCACTGGCCATACCAAGAGAAGAAATAAAAATTAATAGCAATGACAAATTGTCACTTCCAGGTAGTAAGCCATGTCCTTTAACATAATAAAAAATGAATTATTGCATCTGGGAAGGCAGACAAATTTGTTAATAGAAAAGCTATAAAGTGAAAAAATGGATTCAAATTAAAAAAAAGGTCACATTGATTGCTTAATTCCAATTCAGTGGGGTAATTCTTTTTTTTTTTAGATATTTTTATTGAAGGACTATAATTATAGATAATAGTAGGATTTATTTTGATACATTCATACATCTGCATGACATAATGTGTTCAAGTTCAAGTTCCTCCCCCTGAACTTCCTCTACTCTACAAGTCTCCATGTATTTTCATGAGATATTTTATTTTTTCCCCATTTCCTCTCTAGTTTCCACATGAGAGGAACCATATGACCTTTGACTTTCTGAGTCTAGCTTATTTCATTTAATAAGCTGTTCTCTGGTTCCACTCATTTTCCTGCAAAAGTCATAATTTCATTCTTCTTTATGGCTGAGTAACTCTCCATGGTGTATGTGTATCACATTTTCTTTATCCTGTTAATGGACACATAGGCTGGTTCCATAGTTTGGCTATTGTGAATTGTGCAGCTATACACATGGATATGCATGTATCCCTATGGTGTGCTGTCTTTAGTTCTTTTGGATAAATGCCAAGGAGTGGTATAGCTGGGTCACATGGTGTTTTCCTTCCTAGATTTTGGAGGAAACTCCATACTGATTTTACTAATGTACAATCCCACCATCAATGTAGAAGTGTTCCTTTTCTCCATATCCTTGCCAGCTTTTATTATTATTTGTATTCTTGGACATTTGAAATGTGACTTTGAAACAGAACATTTGGATGAGAATGAGCTGTGCTACTTACCCACAGTCTGGAAGTTAAGGGCCACCATCTGACAGCCTGCGTTCCAGAAGAGCTGGGGCATGTAGTTGGATGAGTCCACACGTGTTCCTTTTGGATATATTCTGCTCAGCTGCATTTTGTTATATCTGGACCATCATGTTAAGTAGTGAATACAATAATGAAAACAATGAGTTGGGCTGGGGTTGTTGCTCAGTGGTTAGAGCCCTTGCCTCACAGGTGTAAAGCACTGGGTTCCATCATCAGCACCACATAAAAATAAATAAATAAATAAATACTAAAGATATTTTTTAAAAATAATAAAAAAACAAAACAACAAGAACAACAACAAAATACAATGAGTCCGTGGTATGAACTATGAGGCTGATTTCTGCCTTTCTCCATTGGGGAAATGAAATGAACACTAATGATCACACTGGGTTAGTGAGTAAACCATGCAGAAAGCTTTCTCAATGAACAGAACAAGTGTGCTTTTACAAACTCATCATCACCTTTACAGAGCCTTGTGGGTGAAAACCAATGAGGTGGCAAAAATGTCTGAGCCAAAGTCAATGTGATTTCGTGGAAGTTGTTAAGGACAATCTTAATGATTAAGGACTCGGCAGGAAGCTGTGTTGTGTTAAGTCATGTGAGAAGATGGTATTGTGTTTGGCAGAAGCAGATAATAGGAACTGCACAGCTATTTTTGAAATGCTCTCTGCTCCTTTTCTTAACCTTCCCTGGGAATGCTGTTTGCCAAGACTGAGGTCCTCTTTATGATTGATAATGAGGTAAATATAGCACAGAGGTTTCTGACCTTGCTTAATATTGTGGTTCAGTTTCCATGCTGAGAACTGCCTAGTTGTTAAACAATGGACTATCTTGAAAACACAACTGACTAGTTCCAGTGACCCAGGGGGGTGGAGGTTAGCTAAAGTTGTGAGCCAGGCAAAATGGGCTGGAATCTTAATTTAGGGACCTGCTAGCACTGTGATCTTGGGTGGGGAAGCTATTTCACTTTTCAGTGTTGTAGTTTCCTCATCTCTAAAGCAGACTTAAAATTCCTACATCACAGGATGTTTGTGAGAATAAAATGGGATAAAACCTATAACAAAAGATCTATGGCAAAGTCAATAGTGAATACTAACGGTAGTGATTTTTATAGTGTGACTTTACTTATGGAGTTTACATTTCTTTCCCCTCCTCTTTGATGAGTTTTAAAGGTAACTTTTATTCTAGGAATTGCTTCATGAAATCAAGTTCTTGGAGATAGTTAGCATTGACTTTATGCAAAAATGATTAAAAATTCTGTTTTTATTTTGGTTCATGGATAATGATAAAAATTGTATGATGCTGGGTGCAGTGGAGCATGCCTTCCATCCCAGAAACTAGGAAGGCATCACAAGTTCAAGGCCAGCCTTGGACACTTAGCAAGATCCTGTCTTAAAATAAAAATTTTAGAAAGGGCTAATCCAAATAGCAACTCATAAAGCTAGAAGATTATTTCTGTCTAGAGATAAAGAAAAGCAGGACTCACCAAATTGCCACACAATCTTGTGTGGCAACCTTGTAAACTGGGCTTCTCTTACTCCAAAGCCAGTTCTCTGCTATGTCTTCCAGGCTACCCTGCTTAGCATTGTATATGAGCCCTGAGACCATTCCTCACTCCCAGGTTACAACATAAGCCATGTTATGCATCTTTGAGCAAAGAAACAAACAGCATGTGACCTCAGAGTGGTGTGGATTCCCCAGACATTCGTCAAATCAAGGATACTCCACAAATTCCACCGGAGACTTCGTAAGTTGTTCGAGTCCTTTGGTTTCCACAAAGGAAGACATTTCAAAACTCTTGTTTCTTTCTGAGTTCAACAACAAAAAAGGAGGTTAGAAATAAAATCCAATGTTATAAATTACAATATCCTTAAAGAGGTAGGTAAATGTTCAGTGACATGGAAGGCCCTGAATTCTCAACATAACTTTCATATTCAATATTTTTCAGTGAACTATTTGCCAGTCATAAAAGTTGAGTCTTGCCAGTACTCTTTTTCTCTTTATGACATAGGTGAGATATACAATTATGGTTGTACAATTTAAGGGCATGAATGAGTTTTAGATGAGTCTAGGGTGGCAATGAATAGTGTTTGGTCAAAAGAGCAGTGACCCTGACCGTTTGCTCTAAATCCATTCAGACTGGCTCCTTGGAGCCATTGTTGAGGATGACAAAATATACCAAAATATATTATCGAAAGGTTCCTTGCTAGCACTGACTCTCATTCTGACCCACAATATCTCCTGCTCTTGACCTTGGAACTACTAATGTGACATCAGAATTACGGTATTTCAAAGCAGAAGGATCCTTGGAGATTTTCCGGTCTATTGGCCTTATTGTCAGATTAGGTAACAAAGACCAGAGAGGTGAAATGTGCCGAAGATCTCAATATCCTTGAACACAAGAGAGTTATGAAAACAGTTCAAGGTGAAATGCAAGGCTCCAGTTTGATGGAGAGGAACAAAACTAAGCTGTCTCAGTTCAGAAAGACTTGAGAGTCAATTTCTCTACTGTCTACCCAACTCAAATCAACGGTTATATATGGGACTCAGACAAGAGTGGTGATATGGCTCGAAGCTTTTAAAGCTGAGTGACTTTTGATGACTTTTCCCTCTTTGACACCCCTTCTTAAAATAAAACCTCTTTCTTCTTCCAAAGTCACATTCAGTCTCCTTCCTTATCCATCTCCCTGACTTTTCCAATTTATCCTTAGGAAAACCTTGGCTTCTCTTATTTTGGTCCATCATAAAATCTAGTTCCATAAGGCTAATTATCTGAAGGATGGTTGTTAATAAAATCAAGTCAATGTGACCAGTACTTTGTAAATTATGTTTGCCATTTTTTAAAGGTGATGAAGTGATATGAAACACAAGGAGAAAAGCACAGGTCTTGTTCATCTGATGCTGTCATTAGCTGGTTCTGAAGAATTCAATGCATCTGCTCCATGTCACACTAGCTCCTTATTAGAAGATCCTAACTAATGAATTAGGAAAATTCATTTTGAAGCCAATGAAAGTTACAGTCATATAAATATAGCCAGGATGCTTCAAATTTAACTTGTAAGGAATATCAGTAATTATATGGCATCAGAAAAATGTTAAAATGTCTCTGTATAGACTGTATTAAAGTCAAAATCTTTGGTGTAGATCTCTAGACACCAGATGGAACTAAGACTCTCAGGACAAAAATTATACAAATATAAATTTGTTAAAAGACTCTTGGATTTTGATACATCTATACAGCGGCCCTTTCTAAGGGGTTTTGGTGTTCAAGCAAAATTGCGGTTCCATATAAGCAGCTAGCAAGGCCCAAGAATTCTCTGAAATTTATGGACTCTTTATGCAAACACGAGGAACATTTTTATAAAAGGGCTTTCTATCTAGTTGGGGAAAAAAGGTGATTTTTTTTCTTTGCATTCACTATAGATGGGTAGTTGGAAGAAGAGAAAACACAAAGAGATATGAAGTTAGTTCTATATTCTTTTAAACATATAGACTGTGCTGGGTAGAGGAAATCTGAGTGAATGGGTTCTATTTTGAGTTACCAGGGTTGTTCAAGTCCTTCCTACATCCCTCCTGGGGAGTGGGTAGCTAGTTTATTCAACACCGTTCTCTGTAAAATGGATGGATCCCACTGTGTTGTTGCAAACCAAAATCAAAGGTAAAACTCTCAATTAAGCTGCCTGTTGAACTATCTGCTTTTGGAGAACCAAGTATGGACTGTAACCCTGTTATATATTATTTTAGGGGAACATTATAGAACATTGTATCATATAGTTTTTAAATATATATATATATAAATATATATATATAAATGCACATATGAATAAAG